ACTTTTTGTTCTCAGAAGCAAGAAAATCTATAATTTTACATAGTTTATAGTTGCATAATAATCATACAGTATCATAATAATCAAATTTTTAAAGTGTGCAGATGTTTTCGAGACTATATATCATATTATTTTTACATACACAAAAAAAATGTACAACTTTCCATTTTTCATAAAATGGAATAAATCTTTCATTGAAAAAAAAAAAAACTTGTTGGAATGACTTTGCGTCAGCGGAGGAGATATCTGTTTCTCTTCTGCGTTCAATCAAGTTGAACTCCATTCGGAATAACGCGACGAGAGAGTTCAAAGCCATCGTCAGACTTCTAAGCAACGTGAATGAAACAGCTAGGCACAACGTATCAAAGCGAGCGTATGAGTTGGTGCGCGAACACAACGAACGTAATAGTAGCCTTGGCTTAGCGATGGTCACGTTATAAGCTATAAGCAACGTCTGACACATTCTCGCATCACGTGCGCGCTCAAGCTCACGTGACATATAGCGCATTTGCTTGCTAATTCGCGCGACTCCTCTTCTTCCACATTGATAACTTTATATTTGTCGTCTCACGACGTCGTCTGCGTCTTTAAACGAATAAATTTAGATGATTTCCGATCGCGAACGGTTTCTTGTTGTCGTTTCGTAATAGACGTTGTATCTTTCAAAACGCGAATATCAAATAACTAAATACAACTAATATATTAATAATATATAACTTTATTCAATTTCGAATAATTGACAAGAGCTCAAATTATTATTACAGACGAACAAATCTCGATTTTTTCTCTGTTTCAGATCGTACAAATCAACCGCCTTCTAACATAACAAGCCACATTAACCTCAAGTGATTTCTATTTTCTTACGAAGCGTGAAAGAAATATGAATATTAGTATGTTTATATCGACATAAAAAAATAAAAAAATAAAAATAAAAATAAAAAAAACAAGGGAGGAATCCACAAAATGCAGATTTCAAGAGCTTAGGTTCAGAGGAATACAAAAGATTTTAAGAGCTATATTAAATCTAAATAAGTATACAAAGTATATCTAACGAGAAAGGAGAAAAGAAGAAAACAATTACTGTACAAACAAATATGCAAAAGAAACAAATAAACAAGTTTCCACCAGTGCCAAATTGAAGAAGAAAGCGAAAATTGAAAAAAGACAAAGCAGAGAGATTGCGAGTCTGCGACATACAAACAATAGTGTGTGAGAGAGCTGAGAGAGAGCAAGAGAGAAAGAGAGAGAGTATGATAGAGAAGATTTATTATACCTTTTGAGATAATGACCTTTAAGCACACACATATAGTGTAATCCGCAATTTAATCTTCTGAAAATAAACACGAACAAGTGCAACGTACAACGTCACCGTTTTTCATTACATCAACCTGAGGAAAAGAAAGACAAGAGCGACAGAGGAAAGAAAGAAGACAGAGGAATATACAGTGTAATACAGTGCGAGAGCAGGACCGTAAACCAAAGAATCTACCATTTTTTTCTATTAATCATTCATCGAATAAACAAAATAATCTCTCGTCAAGTTAAACAATAGTGAGACACAGACCGATTCCTTCGTCAAAGCCGAACTAATTAAGCGAGGCCAGGTACACAGTTTTATAGAGGTATAATAGTAATAGCAGTATAAATTAAGCACATTTTTTTAAAACTGGACGCGTCACGTGACAGATTTTCGCTAAGCGAAAGGAAGAAGAAGCAGATGATAAAGGGAGAGATCAACCGAATTCGCTTGAACACTCCCGAAGCAACCGATCTACTTCAGTTCGTAGCCTAAACCTGTTGAGTACAAAAAAAAACAAAAAACAAAAAACAAAAAACTACGACAAAGAAAGAAGAGAAACATAGATAAAAAAAAAAAAAAAAAAAAAAAAAAAAAAGAAAAAAAAAAAAAAAAAAAAAAAAANAAAAAAAAAAAAAAAAAAAAAAAAAAAAAAACAGAAAGCAGTCAGAAAAAGAAGAGATCGAGAAAGCCAATATTGAGGAATAAAAAAAAACAAAACAAAACAAAAGTAGACCAATACAAAATTACGCAAAATACGAGCTTGGTAGATTACGTATGATAGAAACGCACGAGCCGATACGAACAGACAGGGGTGTGTGTGTAAAAATTTAATTCCAGGCTCCGATTTAACCTTCTTACACTACACCCCATGTCCAACACCATCTTTAGTGATAAAGTAAATCCACTGTGAAGAGTATGAGAATATTGACTTGATACAGCATTTATAAGTCATATTATTAACCACAAATAGGAGATCATGTTATTCTTAGCGAAATTGATCACATCGTATGTAAGTGTGACTGATACACAAAGTGCGGAGAAAAATAACGTTGAAGTGTTTCTGAAATTCCGAATATTTTACATTTGAGGTGTATACCTCAACAAACTACACGAATCCCTAAACAGGACTTTGAGTGCAGCACCAATGTCGCGCGCAAAAATTCTGTTTCGAGAAGATAAGATAATTTCGAGTTTTGAAAAGCGTTAGAAGAGTGGAAACGTGAGAAAAAGAAACGGGAGAAAATTTAATTTGCAAAGAAAATAAAAGATCCATAAAAAATCCTTAGTGATCCATTCCAAGAAACTGACGAACGGGGTGGTTAAAATCGACATGATGTGGCGAGGAAGATGAGCGCAGAAGTGACGAAGGAGGTCGTCGCCACCGAGAGGGTTCCAACGAGCCCTCCGGCGGCGGTCGCGACCTCACCGGGTGCAGTTGGCACCGGTGACCCGCGGCATCTGCCACCCTTCAGCAGCTTCGTCAGCGACAACACGATGGACAGCTCGACGACGCTGACGACACTTCATCCTCAAGACGTCAGTACGGGCCTGATGACACCGTGGGAGTACTACGAAGGCCTGACCGGTCGGCTGATCGACTCTCGTGGCGAGGTAGTCCTAGCCAGTCAGTATCGACCTTGGGAATCCAAAGGCGGTAATCCGGAGGGTTTGCCCAGTTTTGCCAGTCAATTCACCGCTCCGAGCGAGGCCGAACCTCAGCTGACAGCGTTAACGCCGTTGTCACCAGCGTCTATCTCGCACTCGCCGCCAGTTACGAGCCTGCCGAGCTTTCACACGCTTGGAACTCCGCTCCCGGCGCCACATCCTCATCGCGGTTCAGTAGGTTATCCTCTGGTACCGGCACCGGTACCGGTACAGGCTCGGGAGGTTCCGGCGTTACAGCAGCAGCTACTCGACGAGCGTCACATACAGCTTCTGGGTTCCAACCCAGTTCAAGCGTTTCCGCCACCTCCACCGGGTCATCATCCTCACACAGTGTTGACGGTAGTGAAGCCTGATTATCCACAATTGCATCATGCAAATTTTCAAAATCCAATGTCGACCGTGCTGGATTCTTCACCGACCTCACGACCGATCGGCATCGACGGCCGTAAAAAAGAACGCAGAAAAATCCGCGCGGGTTCAATGGAGTCTGAAGATGGCGGAGGCGGCGGTGGTGGTGGCGGCGGTACCGGTGCCGGCAATGTGGAGAGTTCCGGTCAAGTTGCCGCCGTGTCCTCTACCGCGAATCGCGGTGTTCACCACCTCGGCGGAGGTATGACCGACGGCGACGGTGAAGGTGGTCTCGGGGACAAGCCAGCGAAGAAGAAACGGAAGAGGTGCGGTGAGTGCATAGGCTGCCAGCGTAAGGACAACTGCGGGGATTGCGCGCCGTGCAGAAACGACAAGAGCCATCAGATCTGCAAAATGAGAAGATGCGAGAAGCTCACGGAGAAGAAGGTAAGTAGACACAATCTGAATAAAAAGATAAAGACATTTCCTCTCCAGAGATTTATTGATGTTTTAACAGTTTTTTTATTTTACACTAGTATATCGCGCTTCTCTTTATAAATTTATATAAATATTTTAATAACACACATTTGTCTTTAAAGAGAAATAGTTATCTGTATTGAAAAACTATCAAAATGTCGAACAATGAAAAATCGCACAATTCTTTGACGATTGAAAATATGCACGCGGTTTTGCGGTAATTGGTTTCTACGAAATCCCGATAGACATGCGCGATGTACAGCCGTAGAAAGGTGTACAGACATAACGCCGTTATAAAGCCGTTATATATAGCTTGAACTTGGCCTCGATGCCTGAATGTACCGAGAATCCCTGAGGGAAATACAGAAATACAGATAACCGAGATGGTTTATTATTGTAGCGACATTGAATAGGGGGTTGGTGGGTTGACTGGCTGACTGTTCACCTCTGCTGGGAATGGCGCCGACCTACCTGCGATCCCGCGTTTGAACAAGTTTTAATTTTATAGTTAGCTACAAAAATATTCAAACCGTTATCCCCGTTTCTCTCTCTCTCTCTTTTTCTTGTTATCTCTCTTTCATCTCCGTCATAATTTTAAAATATTCAAAATTTTCTTTTAAATGCTTATTAATAACAAGGAGACTTTAACTAAGACTTTGAAGTATATTAAAATTGAATTTCTTATAATTATTATGCAAATTAAATACATATAATACGATTAAAATATCATCAAAATTCCAAAAACGAGTAAAGAAATAATGCGATCTCTGTTAGATGTTAATGTATGTGTATACAATTTTATTCACAAAAATCGAACGTTTCTTACATCGGATCTTCTTCGGTGATGATAGACTTGATGAAAAAAAAAGAAGAAGAAAATCGCCAGAATATATTAAAATAAATTAAAAATACAAAGATCCCGCAGACATAAATAATCAAATTATATTTCAAAGAATAGAAGATTAGCAGTTATATCGCGTACGAGGAAAAACAAATAATTTTTTATCTCTACTTTTTTATAAAATATAAACTTTTATAATATAAAATCTCATAGAAAATTAAAATCAACTGAATTAAAGAAATCTACAAATTGACAAGTCGAGCAAATTTTATCATTCAATTGTTTAGTTGATGTAGAGATAAAGATTTTAAAAACGAATCAATTTATTTAAATGCGAAAACGAGATTTAATTAACAGTAATGTTTGTAATAATACGTATGATGTGACAAATGATTTCTCGACGTTATATTTGTCTGCGTTTATATTTGTCTATTGGCTATTTGATTTTAGATCGAGAGCTTTAAGAGACAGACTCTCTGCTGTTAGAGAGAGATTGTCCGAGAACGTTATTCCTAATTTTCTAAGTTCTATTTTTCAGTCACATCTTGTTTTTTGTTTTCTTATTAATACCGAGATCGATTTCAAAAAGCTTTATTTAGAAAACCGCTGGCTAACAGAATGATATTGTCGTGAGTCGACAATAAATGCAAAATATTATTTATCTCGCTAAACGCGTGACACGTCGATACACACATCAAATACGTTACATTCCGATAAGTCGATCTTTTCCTACAGTAATTTGAAAAAAGCGCTGCTATATACACAACGCAGTGATTATTGACGAATACTCAGGAGAAGGCGCGCGGCAACGTCGACCGTAAACGGCTTCGCTTATCGCAGGGCAAGTTCAAGGCTCACCGCGGGTCATAATAATCGCGTATCGAACTTCTCGTCTCGTTCAGAAACATACGTGTGTTGTTTGTCCGGCGACACGCGCACCGGATCGTACGTCTCTCACTGTGTACGGCATCCGTTTGATAACATTCCGTTATTTAATCAATTAGCATTTTCGCTGATTCGGTGCATAGCTTTCTGATAGCGCGCGCGCGCACTTTCTATCTAATCTATTTAAGAAGAGACCGATTTTTTTTCACGAGCATTTTCCTGACCAACAAAACGGCGCAGCGTTTTGAAAACTTTGTTTCGCGGCGATTTTGCAAATGAGGAAAAAAAAAAATATATATATATATCGGTTTTCGAAGATTCTTCTCTCGAAATCAACAAAACACGTCAGTTTCGAAAGACTTGGATTTTCTTGTCTCTCGAATCTGCCAACGCACGCGAGTGGATTCCCGAATATATTTTTGGCAACGTTTCGAGAGTCACACGAAATGTGAAAGAAAAGGATGATAGATTGCGAGAAGTCGAAGACCGGTGTGTACAGGCACGACGCCGTCACAACAACCCACACCCCTAGAACTTAACACCCTCTTTATCCCAGGGGAAGGAACGGCCGTCCCCGCTCTGTCTTTCCTTTCGCTCGCAAGAAAGGACTCTGCCCTCGAGAGTTCATCGCACACCTGCTGTCGAGAGGCCGCATCCACTCTGTATCTCTCTCTCTCTCTCTCTCTCTCTCTCTCTCTCTCTCTCTCCCTTTCTCGACTGCTGGTTTGATTTTTATCGCCTTCCTTCTTGTTTTGACCCGATTTCTCATAAACACGTGGATCATTGACCCGCCGTATCACTTACTGAGCATCCCTGCTTTCATTTTTTATTCGCTTTATTTACCGATAGTGCGTATTCGTGCTTACCACGTATGACGCAGGGATATTTAACGCGCGCAATATTTATATTTTTTCACAACTCTGATGTCGACTGATGTTTCGTATTATTTATTACACGCGTGGCTGCTTGTGCTGCTTAACCCGCCGCTTTTGTTTCTCGTGATCGAACGGACGATCCCGCGTTACGCGAATTTTTGTTTTTTCTTTTTTTTTGCGAAAGAAACGAAATAAACGAACGTGCGCCGGCTAGAGTGAAGTGCCGTTTCGGTTCCGGTTTCACGATAAATCGAAACAACGGAAGCCCGTCAAAGCCAGCGAGAGGCGAACGGGAGAGACAAGAGAGCGAGGCAGAAGGGAAAAAAGAGAGAAGAGAGAGAGAGAGAGAGAGAGGAGGGGAGAGGGAGAAAGGGGATCTCTTTCGTGTGCGTGGACTAGAGGGTTTGGTTACGTTTACTGCAACGCGCAGCGCTCGGGCTTATGCCCGTTCTCGATGAACAACGCAAGTCTCGCGAGCACATTACGAATGCTTTTTGCGTTATTCGCTAAAGCGATAACCGCAACGATAACCGGATACAATTCTCGACTGCTCAGGGTTATCTGACGGCAGGCCAATCAACCCGCTCTCGCTCCTCGTTACGACAAAATAATGCGACGTACTCGTGCCGTCGTTGTGTTGTACATACGATTGTTTCGCTTAACGATCGAAAAATCGAGCGCGCTGTACGTCAATGTTGTCACGCCGATGACAGGCGTTTTTAGGATTATACGCCTATCTCTGTTAGAAAGCTACAGGCAGCAGTTACATACCCCGATGTAAAATACCAGCGGTTAACTTTTTAACCTTCGCTTCTTCCAGACTCTAATTTTAATCTCCTGGCTGATAATCGACGATAAAATACGCGCGCTATCCCGGATTACAATTTACATTTCTCATCGAGAGCGCGCACGCTGTGCTTTAATTCGTTTAAAACCGAGTCTCTCTTTGAAAAATGACTTCAAATTTAGTAGATTACTCTCTCCGTTTTATCTCTTTGAGTGCGCGCGCGCGAGTGTTTCCACGACTTGATTAAATATCTCGACTCTACGATAACGCTTTTAAAAACAGAAGAACGCAAAGGCGAGGCAGAAAATTAAGTACACAAGCGCTTTTCGCTCGCGAAATTTAAATGAAACGAGAAACGGTCCGGCGCTTCCGAGTCCGTCGGAAAATCGAATCTATCAGGAGGAGCGGTGAGTAAGTGAGTGAGTGAGAGAGAGAGAGAGAGAGAGAGAGAGAGAGGGAGAGAGAGAGAGAGAGGGAAAGAAAACGTGGAAAGGAGTGAGGAGGGCCCGTGGGGGAGGAGGACCTTGAAGCTACGCAATTCCCCTAACGGCAGGAGTGTTTCTCGAGTCGATATATCGATCCCCACCCCCACCCGTTGTTTCCTGCCGCGGGAACAGGACTTGTTCTCTCTCCCTCTCCCACAGGATGAGTCACAGCCTCCCCGTACACACGAAAGCACGCACGTGCGACGACGGCCGCGCGCGCGCACGTCTCGACAATATCTCTCGAATTCTCTACGCGTTCACGCAGAACACGGCCTAACGATATATTCTCTCTTTTTTAGCTTTTACCAAATGCTCCGGTTTTAAACGGGAAGTCTCAAAAATGCAAAATTATTACGCAAAATTATTGTAAATTTGTATAATTTTTATCACGCTCGTCAGAAATACGATAATTAATATTAACAACGAAGAGCATTTCTTCAAAGTATATTTTACAAAATGATATGTTTGTTACGTGGTTGTCAAAAATTAATTTAAAAACCTGTATATTGAAATAAAAATAATTTTGTGCGTCTGCGCGTGTGCAAAATTTATTTTTCCAGATTTTGATTATTTTTTCCGCAATTGTTTAAGAAAATATTGCGCGCGATACATATCCGTCGCGTCGTCTGTTTCTTTTGCCGGCCGAATTTTCATAGAACACGCGAATAAAACGCACGCGGAAAATGTTTGCACACGCACTCGATCGACCCGTTTGCTACGCGCGATGGAGATTCCTTGCACCCCTCTATCCCTCAGCTTCTCTCCGCTTACCCCTGCGTCTACACCCTTCGCATCTCTCTTTCTCGATAACTTCATCCCCTCTTCTTGCTTGATCTCTCTCTCTCTCTCTCTTTCGCTCTTGTGGGGTCGCGCGCGCGCAGGTGTCGTCTTTCTTCGTTCTTTCTCTCCTCTCTCGTGACGATACCCCCATCCACCCCTCCGTGACGCCGCGTCCTCGCAAACGACTATTTGACAAGAACGCACGCCGAAATTGCAAAACCAGATCTACATTATTTAAACCGGCGATTGATTTGCGCGCGCACGAAAGAAACTTAATGTAAAATTTTATTTATTAACCGTTAAATTTATCAAAATTA